TAACCCATTTTGAGGCGTCCAGAAACAGATCCAATTCACGGTTAGGCCTACTGTCGAGCCTAAGCTGATGAACGATCAAGGAAGCATAATCGGAGGGTGAAATGCAAGAGGATACTTTCTCTTCCCAGATTCATGTAAATTAGGAATTTGGGCCATATTTTAGATTATCGCTGTAGAAAAATACACAATGTAGGCTACTGGAAAGAGTACACGCAAAAACTTCTCAATGAGGCAATTAACGACATCAACAGGAGTAAGGTAGCTGCGGTTTACAGTATGTCTTTTTTTCTCGTATCTTCAAAATCTGTAGTTATATTACACACTTCAGCAGCCAGAAGATACTGTTATTGTATAAAATCCGACAATTTGAATCGAACCCCTAGATGCCTATCGAAATCTCTCATAGACTTCCTTATTTTCAATGCGTTTGAACTTGCCTGATGATTAAGCAAACGTGAGCAGTTTCCACATTCATAAGGAGATCTTTTCAACTTAAACTTCAAATGAGCTACTGGTATGCGTAAAATGATGACCGTAATTGTTGACCAGTTATTTAAACCATAATGATGCCATATTTATCGTTTCAACAGGTGAGAATGAGTATTCAGCTGCCGTGATGTACATCCAGTCACAATTTGAAGCCCTGAACAAGAGCAACAACAAGGAAATATACACACACATGACGTGTGCTACAGACACTACAAATATCCAATTTGTGTTCGACGCCGTCACAGACACCATCATTGCAAACAACTTGAGAGGATGTGGCTTGTATTGAAGCGAACTAGTCCATTGGTATCTGTTTGCAAACAATGTATATAGAAAAATTGGGCCTCGAGAGTATCTCGTCTGGTCCCATATTTGAAGATCAAGCCTTTGTGCCGATACGAATCGTCAGGAAGCTGCATCTGTGCCGTCAACAGGGCGGGAAATTTTAAAACTGCTGAGTGGCGGCGGTTGAGTTCGATAATACGCGATGATTTCGCAAAGGAGATTTGGTCGAGATCAGCAGTCATCAAAACCGGGAGTCTTTGAATCTTGAGAGTAAGTATATCCCGATGGTATATTTCTACCATCCTTGTTTACAGCATTATCAAATTCACGCTCGTCAACAGAGAAGGACAATGTTGTCAACCAACAGTGACGCTGGGAGATTTTGAACGCCAGACATATCTTTATACTCGTTTTCCCGCCTTCGGAATAACAAATCTGACTATCTACACGAAACAGTTTTATTGAAATGTGATCTGTGTTGTGACTGACATTATGTTAACGTAGTGAATACCCTCAGTTCCAGTAATGCCTATTGCAGCAGAAACCATGGTCATTTTGTTCACTCTTTGGCATGTGATAGTGTTGTGTAGTGTTCACACAATGCAACCAAGCTAGCCTGCTCACCTCTCTCAGGAGTAGCTTGGTCATGATATTCCAAACTGTATGTTGGCTTGCTGGGGTGTTGTTATGTTCTGTGCCATCTGTTGTTTATCTCTTTAATGCACTTCGCCATCAATAGCAATTGGGGTTTCACTGCGACAGAGAGACTTAAAATCTTTGACAGTATTACAAGACTAAGAAACTGCATTATGAGAAAGTATATATTTTGAAATATCACAGCCAAAAAGCCAAAGTGTGTAACACAGTTGTAAATCAGCTGACTAATGACGTAATGTTGACGTACAAAACTGCCTTTCGTCTCTGAGAACCACCGGGAAGATATACAAAACAATTTACATTAATAGGATCATATGGGTGGTCCGTCAGTATGAGATAATGCACAAAGAAATCTTGTCATCCTTTGCTATCTCGTGGAAGCATAATTCTCACTGTCTGAGGCCTGGCAGATTTGAGCAATGTCTATCACCAGTAAGCACGCACTGCCATAAAGATGGCAATACATGTATACCCAACTCTTCCAAGGTATGATTTCTCCAACTCAGGCGTATCTTATTCAATGAGAGGCTTGGTTTGTCGAGCTGTGCATTATATGTTAATTTGCTTGGGATCGGCAGTTCATGTACATGTAGGTGGCGTCATATATACTGCACTGGCACTATAGTAGCAGAATAATGTGTAAACATGGCGGTCATATCGTCGCTGTGAGAAGTATGTGGAAGTCATGTACATGTACATGTATGTGGATCGACTGTACATGTACATCTCAGGCCTACCATTCTCTGTGCGAAGGTAAAAGTATGGCGCCGACACTGATTTCATTTTTACGGGGTCGTATCAGCAACATCTGCGTTTGGAAATTTGGTTTGAGTACGGTGAAGAGTGTATCAAACAAAAAGTTACCAGGTTAAGCAAACATTTTACAAGACAGCAGTAGACAGCTTACCTTGAATCATTATTTGATGCATTAGGCTTTGTGTAGACAACACGTACACGTTAAAGCCTCACCTTGAATTAATAAATCGAAGCGTATCGTAAAGACAGGATCAACATAAGCCTTTCCATTAGATGCTTTAAAAGAAGTGACTTGATAAACAAATGTTAGTTTTACTCCGGGCCGTGAATAAACCGTAAGAGTAACCTATCAGGACCAGGGCGTGCGTATGCTGTATCAAAAGATACTAACAATCTTGAGGACTCTCCATGACTTATACTGGAGCACTGTTTATTCTTTTGTATCAGTGGTTACTATGGCATTTGCCAACAGGTAAAAACACGTTTAGCTACATGTGCCTAAATATATTTGCATAATATAGCAACATATTTCTCTCTGTTTGGGCAGTTTTTAGGAAAGCAATTCAAATGTTTGGACAAACTGAGTATACGCAAGTAGGCCTATAGGAATAAATTCAAATGACATTATGTTACAAGTCACAGCATATACATCAACGTCTGAGAGAAAGCCAAGGCCCCCAAACCTGGTCATGATAAGGTTAAACTATTGACTACAAACCTCTTTCAATGATCCAAATCAAGCTGAACAGGTATTTCGATTGGCTGTAAAGCTACGAGCTGAATTATTCATCCTGCCTGTTGATGCACTGCCCATGTGGGCAGTAACACTTGCCGTTGTCACCTCTGGTTCTGCATGCTGTAGTAATGTGGCTAGATATACGCTTGTCAGACATTTTGGTTTCACAGTTCTGGCTGTGACTAGCCAACCATCGTGGGGCGGGGCAAGAGTTGGTTGAGATAATGCTGCTGTGGTCGAGACTGCTCTGACAGTATACGTACCTTCTAATGAATTTTAGATGTAGGAAAAAAAATTACGAAATCAAACACAAGTCTTGTGCCCTGTAACGTGTTATACAATGCGAATTATGAGGGGTTCGAAACAAAGATCAAAAATTTACCATGCAGCTGTCTTCATCAGCGGAAGACAGTGGTAAGTTTAGAGGTAGAGTGGTGAAAGATATCACACTGTACTGCTGTAATTTTGAGCCCACCCGATCTGTTTATTTCAATAAAGTTTATGGAAAACATCGTCAAAGTAACAGACATTTTGTCTAACAACACGTATGTTTATCTTCTAAATTCTAGTCATACCGATTGAATATTGCAGTACATGATCTTTCAGGGCAAAACAATTAATTGGTCTACTTGATATATGAATTTTTTTCAGGTTTTTTCATTCACAATAACTCTCAAAACCTCCGAGGTGAAACACAAAAGTACATGTAGAATAGACTAGCAGTGCTACTGTCCTTGGCTATTTCGTGTTCACGAAAAAAATAGCAGTGACGCAATATGAGGACGCTTGATAAATAGATATAGACGTGGCGTAAGTGGTTCCACGTATAACTGGCAAGCTATTGCTAGATAGGGAGATAGCTGGGCGTTAGGTGACAAACTGTGCCGTTCAATATATGTTTAAACAGTGTGCAATTTTGATATTTTTGTGGGATTTCATGAAACAAACTTGATGAAAGAAAGTGAAACGATAATGACCGACAGTGATAACGAACAACCCAATTAGCAGAAACCATGTAAACGTCACGGTGACCATTCCTGTTGCGTTGTGTATGAGCAAACTTTATAGTTATAAAATGGGGAAAAAAGAGGAAAACGTTGAAGTTTTAAGACTGTGTAAATATTAAAGTCAAAATTGTTACCGTAAATGGTGACTATTTGCTGCTACGTGTTTTTGCAGCAAAGGGTAGTTTTTCATGGATTATTGAATACATCTTTACAGATTTTTACTTTTTCACCTTATTACAGTATAAAGAATGCTGCTATTCCGTTTGCTATATAATTGGCCCATGAATGTTATAGTTGCATCAATTTCGTAATGATATTGACATGATCAGACTTTCAACGTAAACGTATAACAGGTCAACTGACGTAATGCGTACTTTAGTTATTAAAATCTTAAAACTACCGCGTATGCAGTAGAAAGGCCTAACATTAACCGTTAAAATGAATTTGTCCTCCGTTAAAATATGCTACTTTTCTGTCTCTGTGAATCACTTAGATACGCGAAATACGATTTAAAAAATGGCAAGATTTCATAACTGCATTTTCGCCGAATGACAGGTATTTCATGTGCCTTCGGTAATTACCGATATGACAATGCACATTAGTCTGTGAGTGGATAATCAACCATCATCAATCGCCCACGTGTAAGTGTTTGCTATTCATTACAAGGAATACGAATAAAGCTTCAAACTAAACAAGTTCCACAAATTGAGGACGTTTATGGAAAGGGAAACCTACACAGAAATAATTATAAGATAAACACTTTTGTCCGATGTTGTCTATGGAAAAGCTTCGAAAACCTAAAAGTGGCTTCAAATCGACACACAGTTTGTCTTCAGTCATCACCAAAATACAGTCAAGGTTACGAATAGGAGAGCTCGACGTTAATAATTTCCTAAAATTTTGTGCATCGCTGATTAGAACAGCTGAAAGTGGAATTTTAAGTGATCCAGATAATGCCTTTTTGTTAAATATTGTTGATGACATATCGTTTACATAAATAAAGGTGCTATTATTGGTACAGTCGTTGTAGTAAAGGTTGAATTCGCAAAATACACTTAAATGCACCTGCATGTAGAGCTACACACACGGTTATATATTGACGACTCGTAGATTTTTAATTGAAAATAATGTTTGGAATTGAACAGTCATTTTCATCAACCACTGATTCACATGAACTGACTAGCCACTTTTTATAGTTATTGAAAGGTTGAAATTGTTGATGAGCAACCGTAATGGCCGTTTCATCTATTCTAAATCTTTATGATGAATGTCAGTCTTCTTATTCTGCATCAAATGAGCGGGCCCATGCGTTGTAATTTTAATGCTGGAGCTGTCGGTGCATGTGCACGTTTGTGCCCATTTAACCTTATTTTCAATTCTCATTCCGCCATTTTATTCAAAAGGGTATCGTGGTGATGTTTTGATTTTTCTGCGAATTTGCACATTTATTAGCGCAGGAGTGGTGTGATGTCATTTTAAGAAGAAACCTCAATGTTACAGCTACGTCTGCACTAGAATTTGCCAGAATGTTGGATATCTTTCCTTCTGAAATTTTCTTTTCGTCAGTGATTCGTGTTTGGGTTTTTCAGTACTAGTACTTGACAGTTGGACAGTGAGGAAAGTTTTCTTACAATATTTTCAGTGAAAATTTTCAATTCGCAATTTGAACATAAAGTTCCAGAAAATATATTTCTCCCAGAAATCTCATTACAGCAATAGAGCTCTCGTATGTCAGGAATTGCATGGGAGATTTTAAATGGTTAAAAAAGAGCTCAATTTAATGAGAAAGGGGTACATATATAAGGTCGAATAAAATAGGTTCCCTAGTAAAATTCATTTGGGTCTTTTAGGGACATCCACGCCACTAAGACAAAAATGTGAGTGAAAGGTTATCAGAAACAAATGTCTCAGTCAGACCAGCACTGAAACTTACATGACGCTATGTAATATGCACCCCTGTAATGACGCGGTCTGATGGTTTGACATCAAAACTTCGAGATTGGCAGGTACAATGTTCGTCCATGCAGCTATAAATGGCAAGTTATTAGGATCTTATGTATTGCAGGCTTATCATTGAATCAAAGTGGGAGGGGGGGTTGGGGGAATAGGTATTAGTTCTGTCAATAGTTAAACAAATCAATAGAAAAATCCGCTTGTGAAACTCTTCAGCTGATACTTGTTCGTCAAAAGTTTTGGGTTGATAATGTGAGGTTTCCGTTGGATATACGTTTTATCGAAAGTGTTCCAAGGGTCGGATAGGGACTAGAATTTAGAGAGATTTATGGATTCTGGGCCAGTGTGACCGATGTAAGGGTTTATGTTGGAATTATGTCTTGTATAAAAAGGTTTGTTGCTGACTACTTGTAAATTTTCCAGTTGTGTCCGACTGCCGTATATATGGCCCTGTGGTAAGTGTCGTAACGGAGACATGTTCATATTTTTAATCAGTTAAGAATTTGACAAACTGCAAAACCAGAACACGTTTAAGATGTATTTAAGAAACTAACGGAATGTAGCAGCGACTATTTTTTTTCCTCCATGGAAAACGTAACGTAATGATGACGTATATTGAGATGTATCGAAGTGTTTATTGTAATTTACTTTTGGGTCTTGTTTGTACATTGTTTTATTGACTGTCATTGATGCCGTGGACATTAAACAAACGTTAACGAGACGAATCTGTACGTCATTCCTGTGTTTTGAATACCATTTGTAACTCCGAGATGTCAGTAAGCTCCCGTTTTGAAATGAAAATGCATCACTGGTGTAGATACATCGACTGAGCGGAAAGGTTTAGTGGAATGCCCACCAAAAAAATAGGATCCCCATCTGCACAAATTCATTTCAGAGATGTTTGAAATTTAAGCCTGAAAAGAAAAAAAATTTCCAGTGATGATAGTCGTCAGATACATACCGGTAAAGAAACATATGGGCGCACCGTGGACACGCGTGCCAAACTATTTTCCTTCAGCAAACTTTTAAGTACAGTGTTCAAATATTTTGGTTATAAATAGGGAAGGGTAACCTTTAAAAATGTGGCTGTGGTCAACGATTTACTTTGGAATCACGAAAGACATGAACGGTGATTCATATTTGAAAAAATAACCTCACGTGCCTGTTTTTAATATCAGAACAGGGTACATGGCGTAGTGTACCTGGGAAATGATTGCGGGGGTATAAATTGGACCACAGACCTCGAGTGAGTAAGCTATGCTTCTTAGAAAGGTATATTTCTATGAATGGTTGTTCATGGGAAGGTACGTTTGTCTGACCGTAGAGTTAGCAATGCTCACAAAACTTGAACAGTAAAGTTCTGATGATCCTTTCGTCATGCCTTGTAGGTGGTAAGATCGTATGAATCGCATTTGCATTGATTCGATTTCACGTGACCTGCAAAGTTCTCCTCCAATGTTCGTACTTTGGAATGCATATTATAAAGTTCCTTGACCCGATGAAGCCAGAATCTGTGATAATCTCAAGTTTTCATCATTCTTCGTGACCTTTGTCTTTTATCCCGCTCCGTCCAACCCCAGCCGGCCCCAACCCAACTCAACCAGCTCAACCCCACCCCTCTCCATCCCATCCTTCGGAAACGCATGGCTGCGGCACAACGCTTACTCACTGATGATGTCGCTCCTTGTTTCCTCGTATGCTTTTCGTAGAGTTCCTGTAAGAAAGCACCCATAAATAGTGTGACGTCATCAGTACGCAACCCTAGTTTGGAAGTCGTTAAGAATGAGTGTGTGGCGTCCTGAGTAAACATGTCTGCTTGGGTGGGTGCCTCAACAACTATATTAATGGAAATACCCTTTTTCCTTTACATGAACAATGCGGCACAATGCTGACGCACTGATGACGTCACTCCTTGTTTGCTCGTATGCTTTTCATGTTGTTCCTTTAAGAAAGTGTGCGTGTAAACAGAGGACGTCACCAGTACAATATATACAATTCAGAAAAATCTTACATCAACTTGTTTACAAAATATGACTCACAGGGGATAATATGTACGTAAAAATACGTACAAGGCAAGAACACGCAGCTGCTTGTGGGGTACATAACACAGACAAAACAGACGGCTTTCAACTAGCAATATCACAAGATTCTGGTTTTTGTACGCAAATTGGCTCCATACCCCATATCCATTTCGATGGGATCACGTGATCAGATCATTCGCATCTGCACACCTCCACCCCACTACCCTCGCTGTATGACGTCAATGCAGGTTGTAGTTGTTATGACAACCCTGGGAGGCGAGGAGACTGGTTTAAGGCCTGTCCTGGAAAAGGGAAAGGGCGTCAAATGAAGGTAGAAATTGGCGCCTGAGGGCTTAGGCCCTTCCAATACGTTGGACTGTGCTTTCCTTTTTTCAAATGCACTCTCTCCTTATCTCAGACACAACTTCTCACACTCGGGCTACCTGATCATGATCAACACGCCTTCAATGATCTATTTCTTCTGCCATGTCAGTCACCTTGAGTCCGATCGTGAATCCTGAAATGCCCGGTACGCACACCTCACAATGTGTAAGCTCGACCCATGTAGTGATGGCCATCAAATGAACCATAACATAATACCCTGCCCGCCCGGAAAACCACACCACTAAATGCTTCAGGTGAATATATCTGCTGAAATAAGAAATCGAGGCAACACTTTGTGTTATTGTCACCTGCAGGGCTTGAAACTGAATAATTATTGAGAGGTTGTCTATTTACAGGCTTGGCATACGTCACATAGCAAGCGAAAATAATTATACACAGTACAGTCAGGAAATATATAGTTTAATATGGACATGTGAAATAAAAGCAAAGATTAGAAAGCACATGTGTCAAAAATTGGACCATAATTCACTTCAAATGGAAAGCTCTCCAGAGCCGAGATTCGGAAACAAAATGCAAACCTGTTTCATCGAGAAGAAGGATTTGATTGTTCACAAACCAAGTAGGCCCTACAATTCACTTTTTTGGCAAACTACGGAAACTGAACTCCTAAAGGTTTCAGTGCCGGACTGCAACATTTCCACATTGCGAAAATTGCCCTTCATTTTCAAGCAATGCGTCTCTGCCATGCGCATTATGATGATTATAGCTGTTATCAGAAAAGAAACTATTACAAGCAAGTATGAAGAATACGATATTGGTATCAGAGCAACCGAAATTCCCCTGGCTTCAACCACTACAACACAACATTAAAAGACATTTTGAGTCTGGTTAATGGATATTGGAAGAACATCTTGTAGGTTTGCAGAGTTGCGTGAGAGTTGAAGGTGGGAATGCGCGACATGGTCGTCGCGAGCCCCCCTTCCCACCTTCAAAAAATTGAAAAAATAAAAAGAGGAAAAAGGGCTTTAAAAAAGGCGACGACAAGGGATGAAAAATACAATTTGCTTGGAAAAACCTTAACATTGACCCCCTCCAATGTGTTCGTAGTTGATGAGTGCTTCGTCCTTCCCCGGAAAAAAAATCGTGGCAACGCCCACGATGGGCGTAGCCGTGGCGCTGGGAACCGGCTTGGGACCAGACTTGGTGCCAATAGAGCCTGAAAGTTCACGAAAAATTACGCGCAAAGATTTGAGAATTTGTAATAATTTTTTGTTCAGTTACTAGTCGGAAAAGGGGCTTTGGAAAATATTCACCAGTATGTCAATTTACAGAAACTAAAGAAGAAATATCCTGCCAAAATTGACCCATCACTTCCGAAAATCTAAAACACATTAAGAACAGTGCAATGCGGCAGTCTCGTACACAGATTAACATTTACGGTTTGAAATTTTATGGTAGTCCGTCGGTAAAAGCCAAAGTAAAAACAGATCAAAATAGGTGACACCCTTCTATAATTTATAACATAATAAACTTAAAGCAATATTTTAATATTTTATCTAAGCTTTGCTGATAACAACTGCGTGATGTCAGCTCAAAGGAATCTGGAACCCATCGACTGCAGGTAGGTAAAAATTTTGGAACGTTGTACAATCTCGTTTTCACGAATGCACGGGGGAGTTGAAACAAAACGTACATGGACGATGAGACCTAGGTACGATATCGCCGGACGTGAAAGGTCGCTAATGAAATTCGTTTTTTACCCATCTCCAGGTGACTTTTCCTAAATATTACCTAAGGAAGACAAAGGTAACATTTCAACACGAGTGTTTCGTGGGGTGGTTTGAGTTGGGAATTATGTTTCCAACAATTATCGAACGTGATAGGACGGCCCAATGTAAAATCCCCACAGACAGACCGTGTGAGGGTTCCGGAAGCTCGCTGCGTGACCTTTTACTTTCAGGGTATATCCGCAATTGATTTGGTTTTATTCTCCACATACAAATCGCAGCGATCCATCGGGTAGGCCTATAGTGGGTTTGCATGGCTGCCATTTTGCAGGCCAGGGCATTTGTTCCACAGGGTATTTCCCTGGGGACGTTCCACGTGGAATAAAATAACTGCCCTGCAAGATGGCTACCACGCAAACCCTCTATAGGACCTATACAATACGAACATTTCACAATAGTGCGCCTCAAAGAGTTTGCAACGCGTTGGTCAATCACAATGCGCGAAATCTGTCGACCCAAAGTCTGGATACCAGATCCGATGATTCTGACTACTCTACGAATCAAGTGACTAAGACTGGAGAATTCCTCCATTTTTCCGGAAATAGCCGAAATATTCCGAAGTCGTCCCGTATATATTCCGCATCATTGTTCGGATGGTACCGTTGATGTTCGGTTATTCCCGGCCGGGTAGGGAACTAGCTGTTGAACGTAAACTCCCGTAGCCTGATGGCAGCTTTTAATCTTACAATACAGTATTTGTATACCCAGCAAGAAATGAGACCGAGGGGTACCCCCCCAACATGTCCAATCCCTATACACATTCCGGACTTTTGTTACTAAACACATCCCCCAAGATGTCTGAAAGGAATTCCCCAGATTCCTGCGAGACAATGACCAACACAAAGCAGGGGGGGGTTTCTCTTTGTCTCATAACTAGCTGCATATGAGTAATTGACTGTACACTGAAATCGAAGGTCGCCTTGGCCGCACGTGAAACACCCCCCCCCGCCTTTGTGTTTGTCACTGTTTGATAGGAATCTCAGGAATTCTTTACAGACTTCTGGGGGGAAGTGTTAGGTAACAATTGGACATGTGTGGGAGGCACCCATTGGCCCCATATCGTGCACGGTATCCTTGGCCGAAATCAGGACCAGAAGACGACTGGCAAATGCCCACACATACATGTACAGGGTGCATCCCTGTGACGAAATCGCAAACACCCAGGCTCTAAACTTGTGACCCCTGACCCTTGCGTCACATCTATTTTTATCTGTGGGTGAAGCCTGACCTAAGATTTTTTATCAAGAGTCGTCGGGGAATCTTTGGACAGGGAACCAGACTATCGGCCCAATGCGCGTTTGGAAAGGATCGACAGATTTCGCGCGTTGTGATTGGCTAACGCGTTGCAAATTCTTGGAGGCGCACCATTGTAAATCGCCCGTATTCCACAGACGTTTCACAGGACACTCCTGATGGCACACGTGAATGGCAGTATTAATTGTGTCGAATTTTGTACAGAGCAACTGTCAGTGGCTCTATAAAATAGCTGTCAAAATTCTTACCGCCATTAAAGGGGGCCGCTGCAAATAACCAGTGATGGTGTTACCGTAGTCAAAGGAATTATCTATAGGCCAACACGTAATTCTACCTTTGCCCGGGGACGTTGATTGTTTCGTCCCCAACTTGCAGGTGATTGACCGACTTGAGACGATCTAACAGATCCTATGCAAGCGCTCTGATTGGTTTAGATTTCCGAACGATAAATATTTATGAGCAACTTTATACAGCACGTGCTGTGGGCTGCCACTCGAGGCACATTCCTTGTGTCGTCGATCGATGTACAGAGCGTATCCCCCCAACAAACCGCAACAAACTTAATTTTGAATTTTGTGGAGACTGTATTTAGTTTTACACCAAATGACTACTAGCACCTTAAAGCAACAGGTCCCCTCTTTCCATTGATATGTTTATTTCATTCGCAGACGGTCATGGATAGCTGAACAATCATTCTTTTAAATTCCCTCAATGTGAGGGGGGATCTGCTGTTTCCCGGGATTTCAAGAAGCATCAACTACCCCCTTGTTACAATGACAAAAAGAATGAAGCATACCAAATTGCCTTTTGGCCTATATTTAACTGCATGGATAAATAGTGTCGTAGACTTGGTGTGGAACAGGACGATGGGCCAGGATGACTAACAGTCTTTGCTTTAGACTCTCCTCAAGTTTGGGCAAGGCCTTACGACTCTGCAGGAAGTGGCTTTCATAAACTTCGCTACTTATTTAGTTAGGAGCGATAAAAGCAACCTTCCAGTCAATCTCAACTTTGTTATTACATTTCTTATATTTGCTTGATTATGCCTAGTCATTCAAGCGCGGACTACGTCTGTAAAGCAACATTGGCAGTTACCGCACGATGAGCAGTGCCTACATACATAAGTAAATATGGTCAGGAATGAGTGTACAGAACAAAACTATATCATTATGGAGCGATGTTATATTGATTAAACTTGTTAGAAATACTGCCTTTATATGACAATAATCTGATCGTTCACTCAACATTTCTGAGTACTAGATCCAAAGTTTATATATATGGTGGATACCAGAAAACCGCAATGGTAGAAGGGCTATGTTAATATTTGATGGCATAGCTACTTCAAAGTCCTTAAATAGTGATGAAGACAAAACGCCGCTGACAAAACTGATAGGACTAGACTCTCTCCCACACCATACGAAAACGGTGTATGTGTATCGAATACATCTTTGCAAACAGCACGAAGTGAACTGCGCTAATTAAAGCTAGAGGCGAATCTATAATAAAAATGACACATAGAGGGAGATTGGGGTTGCCCCCCCCCCCGTTCAGCTGCGAACTAAATGAACTACCGGTGAAATGCGAGAAATTAGAAGGCCTACCAAAAGAAATCCTGGACAAGGATTGCGCTGTCCATCTTTCCATCGAAAGTTAAACAATTACATCAATTACCGGAGGATCCCCATAGCAGGGGATCTCTTCAGTACGTCCATTAACCTCCCCCCACCGTTTCCTGAGGGATCCGTCTCTATTATACTGTCTCTCAATTTTTGTAAGATAAAGGAAGTTAAGGGTTCAAGAGGAACACTGAAACACTATGGCTGATTTTTTAATGCAATGAAACGAGACACTAACTGCTTTCCTTGCGGCTGTTACTTTAATTCTTCACCTAATACTAGGCAAGATGTGAAATACGTCTTCCATTACTTACTGCAGAATAATCTGGAAAAATTAAACCTTTGGCTTAATTTCAAACGCCACGGAAGAGTTTGGTTGGCCTTTGTGATTTACATCATGAAGGAGATAAACTTCACAAGAAGAATCTCAGAGACAAATGAGACTCACACAAAGGAAAAACAAACACACAAACAAAATAAGACAATTAAGTGAAGAAACTTCAGCAGTTCATGAAAACTAGGAGTAGATACTGAAAATAGCCCTATAAACATTGTTAAAACTGTGAACGTTCCCCTGTCAAAACAGTGCATCAGTTAGGGAAGTCAGAAATGCAATGAAATGCTTTAAATTTGTCTCAATACCAAAAGCACCACCAACAGCTTGGAAGGAACTTTACTTTTTCTTCCCAATAAAATACCGGGCCATGCCATTTGTTGAATTTATTTTCAGCCCAAGGTTTTGACTTTCAAAAAAGGCAAAATATATTGCTGCCAACTCCTGTTATACAACCAAACATGACAAATATTAATTTTAAAGAACTATCTGAACCATATTTGCATGACAGTTTTTACCACAACCTCATATTTTTCAACATTCAAGAGCGCCCTCACAGAGGGATATTTCTCTGTTGTACATTTACACTCTAGCCTTTACATTATATGAGCACATTATATGTGTACAAGTAAGCTAAATGAGCTTTGAAGCTTTTTGTGGTGGAGATGTAATCGTAAGGTTTGTGGGGACACCATTTAGAAATAATTTCTTTTACAAAGAGTATGGTTCTCATCAGAAGATTGCCAGGGTACACTGTTCAATACATTGATCCTAAATCATAAAAAGTCTTAGTTGCTGTTAATTCTAAATACTCATGATTTGACACGAGACAGGATGACTTGTGGTAGACTCAACTGCAAGACTGTGTGCTTCACTGGCTATCTGCTGTGTAATTGAAAACAAGCACAATGTCTTAAGAATGGACACTGTAACTTTTACTTTCCATCAGAATCGATCTAGAGTTCATCATTTAGCTCCTTAGACTGTAGATACACTAAAGTATGAGCAACATTACCAGAAAGCCGCTTGGACTAAAAAATATAAACTAGTACCACTTCTGTGTTTCCAAACCAGCAGCAGGAATTTGGACATACTTTTGACACATAATAGTTGATAGAAAACATTCTTAAATTCTTACATTGGTAACTAGGTGTGTACAACATCATGGGCATACATCATGATCACCAATGCCAATTACCAGCCAGTATCTTTGCTCCTTGGGAAAGATAACAAACGTGTAGAGATTGTTGCCGTACTTATGAAAGCCATGCTCTCTGTTTACCCAGGACACAGGGGAATCAGCAAACCCATGTACGGTCAAGGCTGCCCAAGGCACATGTCTGCACTGAACTTCAAGTCTGTATTTTGGACATAGAACAAAGAGGTCAAGAAGAAGTCACATTTCACTCTGCACTGCCTAAAACGTCATCAAAAATTCTGCACAGTTTTCAAAGCCAAAATGTACGGTCAAACCAGTTACTGTCTTTGCCTGACCCAAAACTGACATACTACAGGACATGGAAAGGTGAAAAACACTGCTCAGGCTACCCAAATGACAAACAAATATAAATATGGTGCTGAAAAAAAAGTGAGCCCTCAGTCCATTTTAAAGCTTGAGTGTCTTTGATATGATGTCAGTTTTAATAGGACAGATTTCACAGGTTGCTTAAGCCAGCTGTATATCCCACTCACTGCACACACATCTACCTGTAAATCTGCAGACACACAAGTCATGTATATGCCAATGTCTTGTATGCATTGTTCATGAATTAATTCATGGGTATCTATATTGGATAAGGTTACCACAAGTTTTTGTACATGTACATGTATACTGTGTTGCTGTATTTTCAAGTGGCATGGTATGGCTGTTTGTAGGCTGATAAAGGCAGAACAACACTGTAATATTACACTTTCAACAATATGTTAAAAGTGTTTGCCTTTTGTGCAGTGCTGCTGATGCTACGGTATCTTGTCTATAGAATACAGCATTACCATAAACTATTTGTGCCTCAGCTACATGTGTGTAATTCAATCTGACAAATAAAACTTCATTTAGGGAAGCATAATACAAACTGAAAAAGTGGAATAAACAAATGTGACCAGTCACAATGAAATGAGCATAAAGCCCACTCTGCTGTTACTTTCCTATTATGGCAGTTCAAAGTAAAACATTTTATTTTTTTTTCTTATTTTGGAAATAACCCTTCTCCTATTTAAATCCTAATTTTTTGCAGCATAAGATATTTCAAAATGTCATTTTCTTACCAACTGTGACAAAAACAAAAGCCATTGTCTGGTTGAAAATGTTGAAACAATGTCGGAAACAAAGACGTAAAGCTACCAGAATAATGTCACCTTGTCACCTTACATTTACCCTGCGTGTTAAACATCATTCAAGGGTTTAGATAATTTTCTTCAAGCCATGAGTTCAACACCCACTTCCTTGCTTAGAATAGAGTACAGTAATCTTGCCCTGAGTATTGTTTGGTATTGTACTCTTTTTCTTCCTGAGAGGGAGAGGACCGTACTGCCTAAGAGGTGGAGGAACTGAGAACCAATACTACGCGAGTTAGTCCTTTTGCCTTAGGAAATATAATAATACTTGTTATTTCTGTTGAAAAACACAGTACAAAAAACAGCGCTTAGTGATAACCATGAACGCACACCACAGAAAAAAATCACATAAATGAGGCTACCACGAGCGGAAACCATGTTAGCCGGCCGCCATGCGCATACGCCTGGCAGTGGCCATTTAGAAAATCACGGTGCATTCATCGCTCAGCCGTTAAATGCGCTCACACTCAAGATCTAAACCTCAATCTATCTAAGATGTTTCAGACTCAAATTTTCCAAATATGATACCTGGTTTCTTGCAGATGTACTGGAAAGCCTCTAAAACGCCACTTGAAAAAAATGCCCATGTTTAGCAGATCAAAACTTGCAAAACCTTCCCGTTTTTTTGGGGGGGGGGAATTTTCAATAAGGAGTTCGGGCAACTCAAACCCTATCCATTCCTGCAAAAAACAATGAAAATAGTGTGGTCCCCGAGGGCTAGAAATCAATTTTACTGCATCGTGTCTTCAGGAAATCTGGTGACCATGTTTTTGTACACAAAACAGTCCGTTCGCACAATGCGTGTGCAGTAGCCCATTTTGGTCTACAACACGTTTCGCTTCGGGTCTTTCCCATCGATTTGGGATTTTTGGAATAATTTATCATGGTTATGCACGGAGCGGGGAGAAAAGCTGTACGCAGACGAACATGAACAAATTGGTTTCAGTAGCTCCTGCTATGAATGTAACTCTGTTGGGCAGGGCGTAATTGACCAAACATGAACAATACACACACTTGTGATACTCTTTCTAGAGTAGAAATCACTGTGTATGTTACGTTCTGCATGGGGTTTTATGATGTGTATTGTGACTAAATTTCCAAGTCGGGAATCTTATATATGCCAATATGCATGTTATCTAAACTCTTGACCACTGGAAAACTCTTTTTCTGCTGTATTCAGACGTATCAGTATCTCAATTATAGGAAATTCCAACTTTCAGCTCATTTTATGGTGACAGGTCAAAATATTTTTTGTAGTTTTCTTTAACAAATATGAACAAACTAACCAGCACTAAAGGACTGAAAGGAAAGCTGACCTGAGTACATCTAGCATATGCAGAATTGTCTCCGAAGTTATCAAACCACTCCATCTATGGTAGACAGCACTAGATACTTGCGATGGCTCTGGGCACTGGTAGGTGTTGACAAAGTCATCAGACGTTCCTGTGCTGTGTCAAGTTAGCAAATAGTGGTATCACAAACCTGAGTTCTACATACCTGATGAATCATTGGAATTGATGACAGTAGGCGTGATCACTGCTCAACATGCTGCTATGGAAAACTTGACATTTTGTATTCTAATTATTTTGCACTGCTATTTTCATATCTGTGTCTGTATCCAAACACAATCTGTCCAGAATGCCAACACACCAAAACCATAGTCACATAATCATCAGATGAGCAGTTAGTTTTGCTTGGTGTAAAAAATGCAAATGCTTGCACACTGCAATGCAAATGAATAATTTCATTCTTTTCAACTACAACCATGAATTCAAAATGTCTGCAGCCAGGAGACGTCAAAGCTTTGTTGAACGATGAGTCAGTGTTCTAGTCATTTAATATAGCTCTTTGGCACACAGCTAGTCTGGATCAGTTCAGTTTAAATTGGAGGATAATGCACTTACATTACATTAGGTCTGCATGTATTCTTAAGTTAACTGATTGTTCAATCAATGTGTCTATTCCATACTTCAAACACCACTCAGTGAAAACGGTTTCCCTTCAGAAGATGCAACAGAACGGCATATCGTTCAATAGGCGATCATGCCATTAGTTGAAAACAATGCAACAGCTAGGCTACAAAGCTGAACAGTGTGTGTGTTCATTCCCTGGTATCTGGTACATCTATGCAAACAGTGTGCATGTATTGATGAAGGCTATGGACAACTCAGGAACTGTGCGTGACAAGTGTGGCTTTTTTTAAAGAGTTTTCTCTAGGTTATGGTGTCATTTTTGAGGCAACTGACCATGCTATACTGTAGTGACATAACTTAGAATTAGTTTACTTGGGACATTTCTTGTCAAACGAGAACACATTTCAGTGTAGGTGCATGTAAGATTGCTAAACAACATCTTTGACAACCTGAATATTTGGGTGCTCACCAGTTGCACTGACAAGCGACAGCCCCCAGCCACTCATAAACCTCTGAAGCGTCACATGACCTCACTTCATCGGCTGAATCACCCTGACTACTCCCATTTGTCAGTGAAGGATCTTGAGTTGGTTTGTATTGGTGAGGGAAGAGACGGGAACTGTCAATCACTGGAACACATTGATTCCTCATCTGGAAGTGGTCATGTCTTTGACGAGCTCTACGACATTCATACTTGTTGCTCCAAAATGAGGACAGCAAATCCAGACTTTGGTCTTGGTCTGAAAAACAAACCTCTTATTAATTTTGGTTTATTTTACAGCAAGGTTTGGGCAGCAAACTATGGTGGAAATACTGTGTATCAGGAACACCTGTAAGCAAAGTGCATAATCTCATCATTCAAAATCATCAGGTAATCTTTCTCAGCAGCCCATCCTGTAAACACACATCTTTTTATGATTTGCATTTGTGTAAATATTGGTCCATACTTTTGCACAATCATTCAACTGAAAAGAGTATCACAGACTTGTTATGCATTTCATGGTACAGAGCGTGCACTTAGAAACACTTTATCTGCAGCCTGGCTGTAGAAC